ATCAATAAGTGCAATCAACAAATTAGTTAATATAATGAGAGAAACATGCTTTTAAGCTTTGACTATACAAAAGGTAAAGTGCAGAAAAGTCTTGATTTTACACTTTAACAGGTCACCTTAGTTAATTTGCAGATTAGCTGAGTAATATACAAAGCAACGGCTTTCGAGCTTTAGCGTTAATAGCGAACCAATTTTTCCCTTTATCCTTAACTATTATTTTTATAACATACATAACCATTTTTTAGATGTAGCTTTAAACATATGCTCCTTATTACGGAAATTTGTAAAATAATAATAGCTATAATAATAATTATTATTATAACACGTCCTCAAAAAGCATTACGTATTAGTTATTTCAATTTTTCTCATTTTAGAACTTAACCATAAACCATTATGTTAATCTTTTTTAAAATATGCAAATTGGTACACCATCCATAATAGGTCTCTAAATTCTACACTCCATACAATACATGAAACACACAATACATTCTATGCAATACACAATACACGTCCCAAGTCAAATTCTTTCAAATTGATCGCTCCTAAAAAATGTATATACACACATCAAGCACGCAGTTTCAATTTAGAGGTTGTGTTCCAAATTTCGTTTCAAATAAATTTCCATTTTTTTTTTGTTGAAAATTATAAAAACTGCGATATTTAATTCGTGTCATGGTGTAATTATATTTGGGAAAAAACACGCTATATATTAAGTATCAGCACGACAGATATATTCATTAATTCATACTTGTGTTGTTTTTAACAATCCGTTTTCAGTTTCTTAACTTATAATTTCTTAAACTTTTTTGCAATTGCAAAAAATCGACTTTAACGAAACCAGAAAGAAAAATGTCGCAATCTGCTATTTCCGACGCGAGTTACCTTTTCTTTTGCAAAGACCGAAATTTAATTTGTACGTGTGATTTAATTTTAATATTGTTTCTTTCTATTTGACATTTGGAAGTTGATACGAAGGTTACTAAAATTGTTTTATAACTGAAAGCATAACAATGATAATTCTGAGTGAAATACGTAAATTTGTTGTTTAGATTTTTATCTCCAGTACTAAAAAAAATAAACAGACCACCCTGAATAACTTTTGATCACATTCAAGGACTTCATCTTAATGGTTAATCTCAAATATGCTAATTAATTAATTCAGATGAATGAATGAATTAATTAACAAAATCAGTCACAGAAACGTACTTTCCAATTTTTTTTAAAAAACAATGTTTTTTCAAAATTATATTTCACAGGAACTATTCTATCTATTTCGCTAAAATTTTTTTATTTTGCCATGTAAGATTACATTCTTTGAAATGATGTAATAAAACTGTGTACCTCACAATATAAATTTCTTTCGGCAATTATTAAATAAAATACAAAAAATAATAAATATTTGCTAAAAGTTTTTTCTTTGCTTGGAATTATCTTTGGATAAATGAATTTTGTATTTATGTGCAAAATTTTTCATTTCGCTTAAGAAGCACTCGAGATATGGCGAAATTAACAAAAATTGAAATTAACTTTAAGGGTTTGAAATTTTGGATTGCTCTCCTGATTAAACTATTGGAACCATATTTCCCAGACTGCGGCTCCCCTTCTTAAAAAAAGATGTGTTTATTCAAAGAAAATACTTTTCAGTGCCTATTTTGCAACTTAAGATATGGTCTTCACTAATTAATTTCTTATTTTGTAACAATTGTTGANTTTAAATGATTGTTTTGAATTCTTAGAATTTTGAGCATTTGCAATGTACCTAAGTTAGTAGCGAGCGAAACGAGCTTGGTTTGCGGAGCAAACCATATAACATTGCGTAGCAATTTTCGGGGGTTGGCGAGCGTTAGCGAGCAGGGGGCGCAGCCCACTAGTTCTATATATTTCGCTAAAAATTTTGCATTTTGCCACGTAAAATTACATTCTTTGAAATGTAAGAAAACTGTATAGTTCACAATATAAAATTCTTTCTGCAATTATTAAATAAAATACAAAAAATAATAAATATTTGCTAAAAGTTTTTTCTTTGCTTGGAGTTATCTTTTGATAAATGAATTTTATATTTATGTGCGACATTTTTCATTTCGCTTAAAAAGCTCTCGAGATATGGTGAAATACGCTAAAAATGAAATTAACATTAAGGGTTAGAAATTTTGGATTGCTCTCCTGATTAAACTATTGGGACCATATTTCCCAGATTCCGGCACCCCTTTTTAAAAAAAGATGCGTTTATTCAGAGAAAGTACTTTTTAGTGCCTATTTTGTACTTTAAGATATGGTCTTCACTAATTAATTTTTTTTGTAACAGTTGTTGAACAGCCGACTCAATTTTATGGGTTTACGACTACTAATGCTCAACTCCGTAGGCCTTGTAATTTTGTTGTTGTTGTTTGTCAATTTACGTCGCACTAGAGCTGCACAATGGGCTATTGGCGACGGTCTGGGAAGCATCCCGGAGGATGATCCGAAGACATGCCATCACAATTTTGATCCTCTGCGGAGGGGATGGCACCCCCGCTTCGGTAGCCCGACGACCTGCGCGCGAAGTCGAGCACTCCTTGTAATTTTGAACCCAATCCAGAAGACAAGGGAACTCCTGGATCGAGCATTGGTAGAAATTTGCCTTCGTGGAGGACTTTTTGATGGAGCTAACCCGCATTTGCGTTGCATGCAGAGGGAGACCACGAGAACCTCCTACTGGTAGCCTGACGGCAAGGGGACTCTAACCCATGATTCGTCTGCCACTGAGGATATTTCACGTCAGCACTGTGCGGAATTCGTATCGACTGCGATTCGAACCCGGTTCGCCTCATTGGAAGGCGAATGCTCTATCCCCTGAGCCATCACGGCTCTCTCTAATTAATTAGCATATTTGAAGTCCGTCCCTCGAACCTTTAAGGTTGAATCCTAGAACGAAAAGACCCGATCACTAGATCAAAATTCATTCAGGTTGGTCAAAAGTCATTTTGAAAACTCTGTTATTCCATTAAGATAGTCAAAATCTATTGACAAGAAGGTAACAATTAATTTAAAATTGAACCAACCACTACAAAACGAAAAAGCTTATATAAGAAAGAGGAACCGTTATGAGCAAGAAATTCTGGTAACATTACAATTTAGTCGAAGAATATATTTGCATTGTATACTTACAAAAATATTTTATTAAAACAGTTTTTGCAATTTTTTTAATTTATAATTTACACTTGTGTGCTACATTAAAACAAATTGAAAGCTTTTTTTTATTAATGATAACACTGCGATGGATATTTACGAAGAATTTCAAAATTTTAGACCAATTCAAAATGTAGGTATTAAATTGTTTTGAAATTTTAATGTCTTGAAAAACTAAATGCTTAGAAAATTGTGTTCAGCCAGAATCGTTGTCTGCATATTATTATCATCAAGCTTTTAAAGTTGGTCCTTGCAATAGCATTTCATTTAGTAATATTCGTTTACTTCACATTAATATTCAGTGAAAAATAATTAAGCTTAGGGCGAGAAAATATTAAAAATATCAAAATATCTTCTCTATTGAACACTAGGAGACTAATAAATAGAGAAATGCAAGTTTTAAGCAAAATAATACTGATTAAATTATTTTGCATCGTTTTTCTAAGCTACTATATTTGTAGATATGAGAAATATTCGGATTTTTATCGGAAATATGTGGGATATCGGAGGAAATATGCGATTTTTAAAGTGAAAAAAATAACATGTTTTTAGGTTCATACGTACAGACGATGAATACTTTAAAATAAACAGCAATTTTATGATCCAAAACAGTTTGTAGTAGCATTTCATCGGTTCTTCATCCAAAATGTTACGAAATGGGATCTTTTACTCTGAAGGATAATCAGAGGTGACAGCTTGGTAAACGAAAAAGATCCAGCTTCAAATTTCTTTGAACCACCTTAAGCAGAAACATTTACCAAGTTTCATTTATATCGTATACTTCTGTAATATTCAACTGTTTAAGGGTTTATGTTCATAAAAAATTTAATACGATATGGAATTAATTCACTGTTACATTTACACAAGAAATAATTCTAAGAAACTGATATAAAACGATATACTCGATGAAACTTCAATGGTTTCAATAAGAAATTTGAAAATGGTAATAAAAGTAGATATGTTTCGAGTGCTCAAAAATAGGCACCCATTTTCAAGACTCAAAAGTCGAGAATAAAGAAATAAAAAAACATGAATGGTCAGAAACAGAAAATATTAAGATGCCAATAAAAAATGGAAAATAAAGGTGAAATACAAAACTAGAAAAATCGCAGTGGCCGAGAGAGGCAAATGTATTTCCATCCGCTTTGGACAGGTGGTGAGACACTCAAGCCGTTAATAAGGGAATCGTCATTCATATGAACTTCAGCTGATCTTGATGCCCTGAAATCTTGGTTTATTCATATGAATATCGAATTTCTTATTAACGACACGAGTTCCCATCATCTCTTCATACCACGTCGAAATGCATTTTGAACTGATTTGCCTCTCTCAGTACTGCGGTTCTCATTTTTTTAAAAATATTTTCACTTGTATTTATTTCTTCTTTTCTGTTTAGACTACCGAAGTTTTAAGTAATGTTTTTCACCTTTATTACTTTTCATTGATAATATTGCATTATCTGTTTCATAATATTTCTGTTTTTCCATTGCCGTATGACAAGTCTTGAGAATGGGAGCCTACTTTTGAGCGCTAGAAACATGACGACGTTTTTATCTTTTTCATATTTTTTTGCAGCCAATGAAATTTTTATTATCGATTACATACCATCTTAGTTTTGTAGACATAATTGACATTTTCTTTTAGTTTTTTGTACTTCGTCCTTAAAAAATTCAACGTGGTTATATCTTTAAATAAATTCTTTATGAACTTCATAAAATACTTTCATAATGTTATTTAAGTTTTTAACCAAACTACATTAACGAAAAAGGAAGTGCTAAAAAAATATTTGCTTTAAAAGAAAGTAGGGATTCGAAAATTACAACTAAAGCATCATTTTGAAAAAAATGATTGTTAATCATCACATCTTTACTTTTATAATATTTAATACTTCAAACGAAAATATCATAATACCTTCTTTATCTCACTAAACTGGAATAAATAAAGTTAAATGGAATGAAGTTTCACGAAGAAAAAAAATAATGTTGCATTGTGGATTTGAAAGCTGAATTGATTCTCGAATGAAAATCTTAAATTGTGTCGCTTTGTTGCGTAAAAAGTATTTTTTTAACTGAAATAAACGAAATTACACCAGTACCAAACATTCAAGGCAACAAATACGAACGGAAAAAGAAATCGTGAAAATTTATCCACCCGAAGTGCCGTATTTTGTCCATCATTTGGTTCAGGTAATGAAATGGAATGTTTGAGTCCATTTGGAAGTAAGTGTGTCTCCTAAAAATAGACATAAGTAAATATAAGTTTTAAATTTTTTCAAAATTATTTTTAGCAGTGAGTAATCTAAACATAAAGTTTATAGCAATTATCTATAAATGCATTAAATATATTTTAAATTATAATGGATTGAAAAAAAAAAGAACTGACGATAAGAAAATAACACTTCTTGTGTTCTTAATAAGCTCACCGGACAAAAAATTAGTCACCCTTAGAGAAATCAAGAAAAAGATCATATAATAACGTGTAACACCACCTTTAGATTTGATGACCGCCCGGATTCAGTTAGGAAGTGAGCCCACAAGGTTTTGTAAGTACGTCGAATCCAGTTTAAGCCCCTCGTTGAGGATTTGATCGCGCAAATTCACCAAATTGTGAGAATGCTGATTTTGGCGTTTTACCCGTTGCTCCAACTTGCCGCACAAATTTTCAATGGGTTTTAAGTCAGGTGATTTTCCAGGTCAGTCGAGATGTAATTGAGTGTCTGAGTGTTCATAAAACCAGTCACAGATTCTTCCAGTCCGATTAACTTTGTTGTTGTTGTCTTGAAAAATAGGGATATATTGACAGCATACTCTTCATGAAGATGTTGACTGAAAGGCAACACCTGATCATCCAGAATGTTCAAATAAACATGATGGTTCATGTTAGTGGCCACCTCAGTGAGATGGCCCAATGCATAATAAGAAAAACACCCCCAAATCATGATAGACCCACGTCCGGCTTGAGCCTATGCTTGCACACAGTCAGGATGAAATGCTTTATCTGGTCTGCGTTGCACTTGCAGGTGTGCTTCTTTTGTATAAATGCAAAAACGTGATTCTTCAGACCATATTACATTCCGCCAGACAGCAACTGCCCATGTTCGGTGACTTCTAGCCCACTGAAGTCGCACAGCTTTATGTGCAAGTGCGAGCAATGACCTCTTACGAGATGTTCGACTCCATATGTTCATTGCACGCAGCTCCATTCGCAATTTTTTTCCCACTAAAAGACTGGGATGGATCTTCATTTAGTAACTGAAGTAATTCCTGTCCAGTTTGGAAGCGACTTTGATTGAAAAGTCGTGAAACGCGTCTCCGGTCACTTTCATGCAGGATCTTTTTCCGACCACAATTCTGACGGCGTCTTTCGTGACCACACTGCTTGTAGACACGTTGAACAGTCAGCTTTAAAACGCCAACAAATCCAGCAACTTTATTAGCCATATGATCATTGGCACGGCCAAACACAATTGTCTCTTTTTACCACTCTATCACATCTTTACTTTTACCCATATTTACACACAATTTCCGCTTCAAGCATAAATATCTCACTGATAGCTACTTGTCTTTGATCAGGTTGAAGCAGTGTGCACGCAGTTGAGCACATCACTTGACCACTGCGTCATCTAACGAAGCCTAAGGATTCATCGGTGTTTGCGCACTAGGGTGACTAATTTTTTGTCCGGTGAGCTTATGATAAAAGTACAATGAATTTTATTTCAAAATTATAGAATAAAGCCCTAAGTCATCTTTTTAGATATGTTTACGTGCAAGACGAGAATAAGGTAATCAAATGTCAGCTAATCGAATATATCATAAATTCAAGTGTCGGTAAATTGGATTTCTATTGCAGTTGTCCAACAAATAGAGCTAAACTATAAATATACTTGCCCTTAGTGGCAACCACCTAGTCTGCCTACATGAACTAGTTCATTCGCAGTTTTCATTGCTCTTCACTTCTTCAAATTTACTGCTTCGCGGTTACTTGTTGGAACCTGCTGTTTTCTGCAATATTACTTTAAATCTACGACTTAAGTGTAAGTATAAAGCGTATAAATATTCTCCGACTTGCCTGCGGAAACCAGCTGATCCGCCTACACTAACACACGGCTTCGAGGTTTCACAAAGTAGATCACCTGAATAAAGTCTCCTCCTTGCGCTTTAATGCCACACGAGCCAGAATCGGCAAAGCTGTGAGCAGCACAATAATTGCCTGAGATCTAAAAAACACTTTTTTCAGTTTATGATTTTAATTTGATTCCAAACATATAGCTGAAGTTTGAGTCTTCTATTTTGGTAAGAACATATTATTTCACATTACTGTCAATTAATTTCAAAACATGCAACGAAACTTTTTTTTGAAAAATTTCTTTCTTATATCTGATATGGAAAATGGAAACTTGCAACTTAGTAAAAACTTGCAACTTAGAATTACTGTCAATCGCTGATAATTAAAAACATAATGAAATGCCATTTTCTAAAATCGTCTATTTCTCTCATAAAGTACAATATGTGGCCAAAATTTAAGCTTTCTAACTTCACGAGAAGTGTGAAAATTAATAATAAGACAGAGAGTTGCCTAGAGTTTTGTCGATTGTGCATGAAGAGACAGATGTACTTACTGGCAACATGGATGCCATTTTCTTGTTGGCCTTGGCAACCTTTGTCTCCCCGCTTGTGACAATGATGTTGACAGCTGCATATTCCATAAGAGAAAGGAAGACAAATATAGTGCAGGAAGACATAAATATATCGATGGCTTTAATATAGGAAACGGGTGGAAGGGACTTCTGGGATTGAGCATGTTGGGTGGACAACGTCAATAAGGAGGTAACGCAAAGTGTGACGCGTGCAGGTACGGCATCCACTTTGATCCAAAAAGAGATCCAAGACATGATGACAATGAGGCAGGTCGGAATGTAGGTGTGGAACAAGTAATATCCAAGGCGCCTTTTTAAAGTAAAGGTCACTTCGATGCAAGTAAAATTACCTGAAATAAAATTAAAATATTTTATAATCGCTCTTCCCAGCTATTTTTCACTAGATACCAAAAAAGGCCACAGTTTGAGTGACTTAAGATTGAAATAAAAATTTTATTTTGAAATACATGCCTTGCATTGTAAAATATTCCGGAACAAATTACGGTAAAAGGCACTGGTATCCCGAATGCAGTATCCGTAAAATCAATTTTTACCGTCGAATTTTGTACCATAATTTTTGCAGTTATATTTATTTAATTATAGGGATTCCGTAATTTTACAGTAAGTATTACGGTAAAAATTTCGGTATATCAAGTTATTTGCTTTGTAAAATTTTACGGTAAAATGTACTGGCTCAATAAATGCCAATATTTTTACTGTAATTTGATCCGGAATTTTTTACAGTATGTTGAAAAGAAATAGTTGAATTTTTAAACAGGCATATTGCTTAAATATATATTTTTTGTTGTGGAAAAATCACTAATTTGGCAAAGTTTTCCCATTTAAAGGAAAATTATTAACCTATCTCATGTTTTGTTTATATTTATGAGCTCACGCAATGCAGCGTTAAAGTAACTTTTCAAAATTAAAAGAAAAAATAATAATAATAAAAAAAAAAGAACGAGAGACTGTGAACACTTTTTAATTTCGAAAACCTTTGTTTTTTCATAAACACATTTTACAGCATTTTCATGTTAAGCATAAAGGGCAGCGAGGAAAAATTTTAAAAACCTAATTTTACTCTTTTGATTAACTGTTCCGAAATCATAAAATAAAAATAGCATTATCATTCGTTAAAATTCGTTATTTTGCATGGTTAAAAACTTTTAAAAACATTCTTAGTTCATTTAATCAGAATTCGTAATAAAAGCCAATATTTTTTTACATATCTTCGAAGGTATTTTCGAAGGACAGGTTTAATAAATCTATTCGTATTGTTCTAAACGTATACTGTGGTATGTAATCGTATAGTTTGTTTGATTAAATTCTTAAATTTCATTAATTTATTCGATTCAAGTATATCTTAGCTTAATTATTTATTACAGTATTCTCATGTGTTTATTAAAGAAGAATGTCTCGAAAATTAATGAAATTAACCACCATTAACACTTTTCAAAAGATTCCTAGATAATAATTCAGGTTTGCCATTGGTCAAAATACGGAACGAAAAATCGATAAGAAATAATTCTTTATAAAAAGCAAAAGGTTGTAATAATGGATCGAACTAATTTGTTTGCTAGATTTAAAAATATTCAGTTAAAAGTTAAATAATAATTTAATAAATGAAAAATTTTTATGCAGTAAATAATGAAAGACACTAATCAGCCACGGTGACTTTAAGCCTACCCAGCTTCAACTCAATGGGTACTAACTTGTCTGCGAAGTAAAGATGGCCAGTGCCCCAATGCTAATCACACTGACATCGAATTTGGTCTTAAAAATGAGAAGTTTCGATCTACATGTCCACTTGGTCAATAATTGTGGATGTGGAACTGCTTAATACAAAAGAATTATTTTGTAATTTTAACAGCCGAGGAAAATTTTGGGTTTACGACTACTAATGCTCAACTCCGTAGCCTTGTAGTTTCGAACCCAATCCAGAAGACAACTCTTGCATCAAGTATTAGGGGAAATTTGCCTTTATGGAGGACGTTTTGATGGAACTAATGGCAGGGAGACTCTAACCCATGATCCGTCTTTTTCACTGATGATATTTTTTCATCAGCACTATGGTCGGTGCAAGCCAGATGTGGAATTCGTATCTACCAGGCAATGCTTGGATTCACTTCATAGGGAGGCGAGCGCCTTATCCCTTGAGCCACCACCGCTTTAATTAAGAGTATTACAAAAAATTATTGGGGAAATAAATGTTTAACACTAGAAATACTGAATATTGCTGTATACATTAAAATTCTGAAAGAACAGAATGGTCCTTCCTAGACAGTTTATGCGTGAGTCAATTAGACATCAAAATTTCAAAATAAAATCTTCATTAATTTAACGATAAGTTCAGAGACTCGGTCATCAGAACTCCATGGTATTTATTCGATTTGATTGACGAAAATTTCGGATTAAACGGAACACTGACATTTCAATTATACTCATCCTTCTTAAATAATTGAGTATACCTTTCTCTATAAATAATAATAGAAAACATGTTGAAATACTATTGATTTTTTAGTGAAACTGGGATACATTTTACGCAAACTTACCTGGGGTTATGAAATACTTACCAAAATTCCTTGGGACAATTCTGCCCCCTCCTATCATTCTAAGTATATGGTTCTATATGTTCTTATAAGGCTAAAACATGAATGATTACTTATATTGGCTTAAATTGGATCAAATTATAAAAAGAGCCGTAATGGCTCAGCGGATAGAGCTCTCACCTCCCGATGAGGTCAACGGGGTTCGAATCCCAGCGATGGTCGGTTGTTTTGATTTCCACACCCGGCTCACACAGACCACAGTGCTGACGTAAAGAAATCCTCAGTGGTAGACGGATTATAGGTTAGAGTCCCATGTTAACCGCGAGAGGATTTTCCTCTCCATGGGACCTGACCGTGGGAACTGTTCGTGGTTTTGCTCTCCATGTAGAGCAAATGCTGGTTAGTTCCATCAAAAAGTCTTCCACGAAGGCAAATTTTTCCCAATACTTGATCCAGGAGTTCTCCTGTCTTCTGGATTGGGTTCAAAATTACAAGGTTACGGAATTAAACATCAGAGGTCGTAAACCCAAAAAATTGGGTCGTCTGTTCAACGACGGTTATAAAATAAAAATAAAGTTACGAAAAGGGAGAAATACTTAAGTTATTTTTTAAACCCCAAAGCAATAAGAAATTACAGGACCAAAATGATCCCACCGTCTTCCTAGTGTTAAGACTACAACATTAGTGATAAACTTTATGCCTCCACAATTCATTATAATTCTAGTAGTTTCATTAATTCATAAATTAGTTTACAATACGTTATTGGCGATTGATTAAAATTTTTTTAACGTTCTTCACTTGATAAAAATAAATTTTTGAATTAGTAGAATAGTTTTATTAAAAGTCAGTCTGATGTTTCATTCCTCATTTGTTAAAATATCTAAAACTGCGAAAAAAAAATAATATTGAGTATTAATAAGTAAGATAATACAGTTTCGAAAAAGAAATCTTCTTTCTAAGACTATTGATTTTAAAGCTTAAATACTAATTCAGAAATCAATAATTTAGAAGAATTATGAAGTGCTGAAATATCAGCTTTTGAATTATAAAGAAAAAAAAAATTGAGCTGCTTTTACATTAATTTTCGGTATTTCAATATTTTCGTCAAAATAATATCGTTTTTTATGTTTAATGAATTTATAAAGATAAATTACTCTTTTGAACGGAAAAGGAGATAAAAAAAAATCATTAATGTTTGTTTTATAGAAATCGTAGCCAATTTTAATTGTTTTTCCATCTGGTTCATTAATTTCTTAAAAGTAGGATTTTTTTAAAGGAAAAAATTAAGATGGCTTTTTAAAATACAAAGACATTCCATTAATAAAATATAGAAAAAAAAGTATTTCACACATTGAGTCTAATCATTTTTTAACATTATTGAAGTTGAAAGTGGGAGTTGGGATATTACTTGTCTATATTTGGAAACTTGCGTATTAATTGATTGGTCTTTTGATTCTTCAATTATTGTTTTTTACAACAAAAATACGAAAAGGTTTCAGCATTTTTCAATTAGAGAATTGGAAACAATTGTTAGATTTTAACGTTTGAAAATTCCGGTCTGCAAAACTCAATTTAAGGGACAGCATCATAGAAAGCATTTAATTTTAATATTTTCAAAAGTTTTACGACAGTTAAACTTAGGCTTCAACTAAATGATTGTCGTCTGATAGTTACCAATATAAGTGCTGAATATTAATAAAATAATTATTAAAATAATTCATAAAAAAGGCTCTTTTGCATTTTTTTTACCTTTATTGATTCATAATTTTTCTTGTAAACTTTAATTAATTTAATTAACTTGTTATCTACAAATTTCCGCTTTTTTCCCTGGAATTTTGTTTTCGCTCACTTTACAAGGGTAGAAATAATTATTTTTTGAGCGAAAATTATTACACACTCTCCACCAAATTTTTAGCATCATATTATTTTAGTAATTTTTAAATTTTTTTCTTCGTGTTATTAGAACACGGATTATTTTTTTTTGTTGACAATTTTTGTTTTCAATATTATATTTATCACACGGATAAAAAAAACTGTACTAAAATTATGTATGATAATTTGCATAATAGTTAAATTTCTGGTAAAAAAAAAATTCTGGTACTAAAACTAAAATATTCATTATCTGTCTTTAAAAAAATAAATTCTACGGGAGGTTTTGCTGCTCGCCTTTGACGTCATAGAAGAACGTCACTATCTCTTATTTTCCCAATCTTTCCTCTTTAATGCATTACTCCATTGAATTTGGCTTGTTAGGTCTTGCGTGAATTAAAGCATCATAATTTCAGATAACAATTTAGTGCTTCGACGTATATTTTGCGACCAAAAGAAGATCTTCGACGGCCAAAAGCAAAACAATTGAAGTCATTTGTAAACGAATTTTTCACCACCGACATCAAATAACTAGTTTATAAAATTAAATGTTGTAAAAAGAAAATCAAGTGGAAATCAATACGAGGGAATCTTGTACCAGCAATTGGAACAACTTCTACAAGTACTGCTCTCTACCGTTGAGAACACGAAACACTGTCGAGAACAAAGTCAACATGCATTAAATCATTAAAAAAATTTCCGTTCTTATTGTAACAAATCCTATCACGTGATTTTCCTGTTAATAAAAATGCCTCGGCAACAATGACAGGCTCTTAGGCCATTATGCTTTTACGTTATAGTTCGTACTTGAAAAGATTCACTAAAGTAACAATAATTTCCGATTTAACCCCTTCCTTGTCGCTCCCGTGAAAATGACGGAGGGAGGTTTCGCCCTCTGTTTCTCGCTCCCGTGATATTTCCGGGCTGGAGCGTTCAGTAGTAACGTGCCAATAAGAATAAAACTAATTTATTTCTTTTGCCCGGAAAACATTTTACTTCTTATTTTACACACCAGATGGCAGTACCAGGATATTTTTAAGGTAATTGTAGATAGTTAGTTTACTTTAAACTAGATGTCAGTACTAATTAAATGCGCGTATAATATACGTGTATAAGAAATAGGTACTTTTATGACCATTTTCTTGAAAATAACCAATCGTTAAGGGGTTAATAATGTTTTCAATTCTTATTGACTGGTTTATGCATTTGAAGCGTTAAGACTTTCGCATTGTGAACGATTTCATTAGATTATCTGACGTCATTCATTCGATTTTTATATAGATTGATTTGCTGTCACAGTTTTTGTCACTAACCTGTTGAATACGACTTTGTGCAATCACCAAGTCTTGTATTAGTGAGTATGTGTTGTGGAAGCTCTATGTCGTCATCCACTACTAGAGGAGTTTGCTCCTCCCACTTGAACACAAGATCATCCGTTGTATATGATACTGCAAAATATAATATAATCAGATACAATACAATTTTATGGAATAGATTGATATTTTTAGAATACTATGTGTTAGAGTACAATTTTGGTTGGGTTGGTTGGGTTAGTCCTAATGCCACTTGCAACACGGGCAAGCCTCTTGTTTTTCACTGGCGCCATCTATGGCCAAGAATTCGACTTCTGCCACATACGCCACACCTGTTTTCTAAGGCGGACCCATTCATGCATCCATTCATTCATCCACAGATCGTAATTTTGATCTGGATCAGAGAACGATCGATCTCCAATCCAGTACCTCCCAGAGGTATTGATTTGTTATGGGAACATGGAGGACTTTGCGACTCGAGAGAATTTTAACGTGCATAAGTCACCAACTACACGGGGAGTCTTCGGCCGGCGGGGTTCGAACCCACGAACTCTCGGACATGGGCCCAGCGCCCAACCGACCAGGCTATCCCGGCCCCGAGTACAATTTTGAATGAAATGTGTGAATGACCACTTAGTAAAAATTCTTTTGATTAGAGAATCTTATATTACACTGGAGAAATATTTCTTTACTTTTTTAATTTTTGTTTTCTGTTGTTTGAGTTTTTTTTAACAGATATTAGATACTTTCGTGTCGCTGATTTCAAATCAGTAATCAGTTTTTCTTTCCAAGCTACAGTTTTTTTCCTTCTTAAATGACATTTTAGTCTATTAGTTTACAAAATGTAATTTGAAAACCTTATATATAATAGAAGATCGCATAAGTGTAGCGACGAACATTAGGGTACATTATCAGAATTAAAACTGCAATGGAACTCATGCCTGGGTATTTCATCGTACACCGCAAGTGGCGCTTCCCTATTATGAACTATTTTTCAGGTGCTTCTGAAATGATCATGATAAAGAAGCACCTCTGCGTACTACGGCACTTTCGAGCATGGCCTCCTTTACAATTTTAATCCTGATAGTGTTTTTTTTACCTCCTTAAAAGTTATGTAAACATGTAGTTTCAAGGATTCCATTTAGGAGCAAATATAATTTCAGTTTTGAAATTCTCACGCTTGAAGAATTAAGCAAAATAAAATATTCGTAAAAGGCAAAAAAAAAAAAAAAAAAAATATAGATATCTTTAAACTGTAATATAGATACATATAGATATCTTTTTAGATATCACCTTATTTCAAGATTCGCGAGAAGGAATTAATGAACTATGAATGAATACAGATAACTATATAATATGTTTCTAATCACAGAATATGTTTCTATATTTACGTGGTATGTTTCTAAGCACTGAATATCTTTAAATTTTTTGTATTCTTATAGGGTTTTATGAAATTAATAAAAGTTTATCGACTTATTTTTACTCTAGAAAAGTATTTTAAGAATTTAGGAAAGGTTTCCAACAAAAAAACAAGGAGTTATGCTATTTAATGAATGATGTTGGACAATAAATTTTGACGCAATGCAAAGTTTAGGTGAATAAAACGTAGTTATTTTTTGCCCTACAGTTAGAGTTTAAAAAATTCCATTGTTCTATTCAATTTGTAACCGATGTCTAAATCATAATAACAGTTATTTAAGAAGTGTTACTAGTATCAGTTACATTTGCACAAGTTTCTTAAAAACGACTACAAACAAATATTAAAAACTTACAGCTCTCAATTTTAAGACCACATGTTTGAGTGTCATGGGGATATGACTGGAATTTCATCGCACATGATAATTCAAGTGTTAATCTGAAGAAAAAAAAAGGAAACAAATGAGTTTAAAAAGATAATCCATAGTCAATAGTTATATTCGTATTATATTCAATACAGTATATTCAATAAATTACGCCGATGCCATTATGTAAAACTATGCTACTTATAGAAAAGAAGAAGAGAGACTCAAATGTAGTTGCCAGTGAAGTAAAAAAAAAATTCAAGCCCATTTTACTCACTAGGTGGCAGTTCTCTTTATAAGAGCAAAGGATGATGACCAAGGAATGTTAAGTCCATTTATGTCGTTCATTACGTCGCTTTATTGCAAAAAATTGTTTTTTCTCGAATTTCTAGATCCATGAAGCTAATGTCAGTATCAGTGGTATTTGGAAAGTTAATAAATGCTCGAAAAGGCACTCAAATTGAAACGTTTTGGAAAACTTTTATATAAAATTACCACTATAATGATTGAGCACATGCAGACAAGGTAATAAACGAATTTCTGCAGAAATTCGAATGGGAATTTCTGAGCCAGTGGTTTTATGATTCAAGATTCCTTAAATAATGGTACAGCGTTGAACTGTTTTTTTTTTTAGAATAAAGTAAATCATTAAGAAATCTAAAATAGTTTGCAAATTAAAAAATATATATATTTTTGAAAATTAAATTTTTTTTAATTGAAAAATATTTTAATTAAATAAATTTAAGGAAATGTCTTAGGTATGACGTTTAATTCGTCATTTAAAAAACACATAAAGACACACTGAAAAAAAAGTTTGGTCAAAACTATCAGAGGTGATACAATTCACCATATTTTTGGATCCATGGGGACACTAAAAAACTTGATAATTTATACCAATGATAAAACTAACAATTAAATATGGTTTACAATACGCGATAGAATTTGGAAATTTTATTATGATACTTTGTTAAAAACCATTTATTTGGTTAAATTGACTTTTCAGTCTTGTATTTAGCACTCTAAAAGTGCGTCCACTGCGACATATAATTTTGAACACCAGAAATGCCGGTAAAGCGCTAGCATATGAATTGAAAAAAATTATTATTTTTGTTTCTAGGTTTTTAGTGCCAAAATTAATGCTTTTTATAAAATTATTTTTTTTATTAAAAATGACAATATTATACAGTACGGTAAATTTACCAGACCCTTTTTTCTCAATGTAAAAAATTAAAAAAGTATTTTGTATTTTAATTTTGCTTACTTCACCATATAAAGAATTTTCTTGTCCCTGTAGAGCCAAATATAGTGATTTGGAACAGTCATATCTTGAAAAATGACACGCTTTGCATTTTTGAAAAAGGCATCTGGTCGCCAAATATCTTTCAGCCACGTGGTAGGCAGAAGACGGTATTTGGCAGTCATGTTCTCTGGCAAATGCAATCGATTATCTTTCCAGCTTTGAGACATGAATACATCAGCTACATATGTCTAAAAATTTAAAGAAAAAAAGGATCTCATTGGAAAAGTATGATTTTATAGAAAAATTAATTTTCGTAGAATCAATTAAAAGTTTATACTAGTATTTTTATATCCTTAATTTTAAGATATGGAGAGATTTTAAGATATGGGGAGAAAAATGTATAGAAATAAAATCATTAAATTTTAAAAGGAATTAAAATGATCATTAATATTAATTTTTTTTGTAAATGATTTTATTGTTTTATTGAATTGAAATATAATAGAATGAAATACATTATTTAAAAATACTAATTATAAAGAAACTATTTTTAGTTTCAGAATACTTTTATTTTCTGTTGTACGAAATAGTTGATAAAGGGAAACTGCATATGTTTGATAGATTTATGCTTAAAATGTGTTTGATATTAATATAATATTTAATAATTATTCCCTTTTAAGGATTTCAGAAAAATAATTAAATTATTAATGTTGTATTTGCCACAATTTTAGCTTTTGTATTAATTTATCACATTGTTTTTTACTACTTTAATTAATATGAAAAATTAAAGATCAATTATTGTATCAATTAAGGTTAAAACTCCTTGTTAGCTCTTGTATTACATCATGCTATTAATTATTAATTACATTAAATATTATTGATAATGTTATATATTAATTATATTAAATGTTATTAATTATAATTTTTTTGTAATCATTAATTATTATGCGAAATTATAGATTAATTATTACAATGTTAAAATTACTTGTCAGCTATTGCATTAATTAATTTTATAAATTTTTTTATTATGTTCATAAGTAATAAAAAGTACATAAAGTATTTCACATAATCATACTCACCATTGAGCCTTCGTCTATGGAGTCAATGCTTAAAACAGTGATGTGAAATTCTACTACAGTGGGAGATGATTCTGTAAAAATGCAAAAAATGAGTTGTATAACTTTATAATAATAATATTAATATCAGTTATATGATATTTAATTAAAAATTTCAATTTGAAAGTATAAACCTTCTCCGACAAATATAATGTAAACTTATCTTAAGTTATTGAACATATAACCCTGAGTAAAATGATATTTAATTCAAAACTTAAATAAGAAATTTCATATTTTATTTGATACAAATTATTTTAATTTTTAAGAGTTATATTTATCAATTTTAAATGAGAAAGATTATAATGTTTGTAAGCAATGTTAAACTCTTCTGCATTATATATATTAAATTTTTCGGTATTTTCTATTGCATAAGATTTTTTAACAGATCTTTAAATACTTTAGTATCGATGATTCCGAATTTTCATTCGGTTTCTCTCTTCAAGCTACAGTTTTATTTTAAAATAACATTTTTGGCCTATTTTTTCTCGAAATCTTCAAACTTAAAAAATTTTATATGAAACAAGGGATCGCATAAACGTTGCGACAAATTTCTAGAGAAATTAGAGCACATCATCAGTGATAAAATTGAACAGAAATCCCGGAAATGTCGTCATACGCTTCTAGGGGTGCTTCTTCAATTATGAACTGTTTATCCGTGCGTTTTTGAACAGGTTATAAAAGGGAAAGTGCCCCCAGCAGCCCCTAATCTTGTTGGTCATGAATTCTTACGCAAATTTTATTCTTGATGATGTGCCTTAACTTCTCTAGAAGTACGTTGCAACATTGACGCTACCCTCTGTCATGTATAATGTTTTTAAACTTATACATTTTGACAAAAAATAGACTAAAAATTTCATTTAAAAAAACTGCATCTTCAGGAGCAAAACTAGTTTCAGATTTGAAATCCTTTCACTCGTATTTGGCAAGATCTGTAAATGCAACAAAAAATTTGTTTCCCAGTGTTATATTTGAAAAGCTTTTATAGTAACTATTTAGAATAGTTTTTGCTCTGTGTAAATTTTTCTGAGCAAGTCAAATAAGTAAATAATAAAACCAAGAATTATTTAATATTAAGTTAACGAAAACGTTATCTACTTTTAAGAAAATTATAATAAATATTCGACAATACGGCTTAAAATTTAGAAATACTGAGCAGAACTATATCTCCCAAATAAGAATTGATTTTCTCCCTTACAACCAATTTATAAAGGGTGAATATATTTAAATTACTCCGTTCAGATGATAATACATGTAAATCTTAATAAGACCTTTCATTATGTATGCTGTGTATGGATTAGAATCTAATAAAATGGAATTGTTCATGTAGTTTTCTCAGTGAGATTTTCTGACTTATAGTCACTGGCAACATCCTAAAAACTCTAATTATGTCTCCGAAATATTTTTAATTTTTTAAAAATACTTGAATCTCCGCCCCTGCTTGCGTTACTCATAAAACCCTTAAATTGCTTCTCATTCATCATTATTATTTTCTTCTTAAAAGTCAATTTTACTCACAAAAACAAAGAACAATTTTATAAAAAAATTACATAATTACTGTAATATTATGCAAAAAGATTTTGTTAATATATCAATCGTTATGAAAGGAACGATTATCTAATTTTAAAAATTAATCTATACTTATCTAATTTTGAAAATTAATCCATACAAAAGTAATTTTACTCATTATCGATATATTACGCTAAACTTATCGAATTTTTAAGCAATTCAAATTTGAAACAGTTTTGTGTTCTTGAACTAAAGTTTGTTTACACTTTAAAAAAAATTCTCTATAAATGCTGAGATTTATTAGACAGCATCAAATCTCTCTTCCTCTGTCTCTCTCACACATACTAGTTCTTTTAGTTACTTTCGACATTTACTCAAGTGTGAGCTTATAAAATGAAGATCTCGAGAGAGAGAGAGAGAGAGAGAGAGAGATAAGTTTTTCTACAACAATGTATAAATGACTTTTAATAAAGGAAAAAACGTAAAAAAAGATCCACGGAAAAAATATTTAATTGCTTGATTACGAAAAAGTATTTAAAATTGTAATAACTTTCGAACAAATCAGAATTTTGAAAACAAAATCTTTCTTAGGTAACAAATGAAAATGACCCTTTTAGCACATCAAATTTACACTCTGTAGATACGTTTCTACGGGCTGCATAGTATATGCATGCGCACTGTTGAAAATGGTTGTGCATATTGAACCATAACAATTTTCAAATTTGATACTACCTTTTTCTTATTTTATAACCGTCATTGAACAGTCGACCCAATTTTTGGGATTACGACTACTAATATTCAACTCCATAGCCTTGTAATTTTGAACCCAATCCAGAAGACAAGGAAACTCCTGGATCAAGTATTGGGAGAAAATTGACTTCGCGAAGGACTTTTTGATGGAAATAACACGCATTTGCGTTACATGGAGAGGAAGATCACGAGAACCTCCGACGGTTAGCCTGTCGGCAAAGGAACTCTAACCCATGATCCATCTACCACTGAGGATATTTCACGTTAGCACTGTGGTCGGTGCAAGTCGGAAGCGGATTTGTATCGACAAGCCATCACTGAGATTCGAACATTGGAAGGTGAACACGCTATTCCCTGAGCCACCACTGCTCTGATACTACCATTGTAAAGTGTCGATGCAACATCATGCAATCTCTGATTTTTTTACAGCTTCTAAAATAATACTGTGGTTTAAATTAGCATATTATTTAAAAATCAGAAAATTCGCAAAATATTATGGTTCAAAGTATGAACACAGCAGACTCTCTTTTTACTGTCTTAAATAGATTTGAGTAGAAATTACGATAAAAAATAGAAATTAAACTTATTTTTTCACTGTATCTTATTGAATACTCATATTTTTGAAGAAAAACTGACAATAAATAAATTTAAATAAATTAAATAATAAAGTTAATTCAGTTTAAATAAATCTGTCTGAAGTAAGGAACAAAANAAACTTATTTTTTCACTGTATCTTATTGAATACTCATATTTTTGAAGAAAAACTGACAATAAATAAATTTAAATAAATTAAATAATAAAGTTAATTCAGTTTAAATAAATCTGTCTAAAGTAGGAAACAAAAACTCACGCTCCTTCATGTGTCTTACGGAACGAAGAAACTGGAGAACGGAGAAAAAGAATGTAGTTGGTAAAAAGTAAATCAAGTAAAGATATTGCATGCGGTGGCTTTCCAATTTATTTGAATAGTGCGTAAATCGTGAACTAAATTACCCGGAGAAGAATTACGCTTGACAGAACATTATGAGTTCATCTCTTGAAATCCGTAATTCACCTTACCGGTTGAACCGAAAAGCCAGTTAAGAGAGAGTTTACTGTATTATGGTTCAGCTTTTAATCGATTTTTGAGTAGTTGCGATACATACCTTTTTCTTTGGGAGGTTGTAGGTTATCATATTCTTGTGGATTATCAGGCAGAATGGTTTTAAAATCTAAGCTCTTCAAACTGAAATAAATAGGAAAAGTTTGAAAGCAAATGACATGCTCTTTAAATCATTAGGATTAAGTTAAACAGAATTCTAGAACAAAAAGTAAATTTTCAAGTGAATCAAAAAATTCAGTTTGAAAAATATTTGTAATTTTTCATGAGAAAGTAACAAAAAGTTTAAAACTAACAAAATGTGCAATATTTTATTATGCTTATGATAATTATAATTTTTTGAAATCGTTGAGACTTTTTCAAGTTTAATTAGGTTTAATTTATAAAATTATTTAAAGTTCAATGCTTTTTATTAAATTTAAACATTAAACAAACAATTAGTCGTTAGTCAGATTTTTCTAAACAAATAAATTTTCATTCTCAAAGATGAAAATAAAATTTAATGCTTGCAAATATAAGATATAGAGATCGAGGTATATTAGATGAAAGTTGTTTTCTTAACCATTAAATTAAAATGTAAAACATAAATTTAGATTTGAAACAATATTTTACTAACTACGAAATTTTTTTTAAAAAAAAGTAAGGAATGGTTAACTTATTATTATCTTTAATGAAAAGAATTAGTCCTTGAAAAATACGACATATTACATGCATCGTAATTAAACTATACGCCATTTGATCAATATTCCATATCACTGACAATCAGCTTGGTCGCCCATAAATTCAAATTTTGAAGGGTCCTTAATGCATTGTGTAAAATTTTAGTAACATAGCATTTCAATGATTAATATTCAGTTCAACTTTTAATGAATAAATATTAACTCAGAATATTTAATCAACTAACGATAATTAAACCCTATTTCCGAAACGCATGTGACAGACCCTGAATTTATACATAAAATTAAGTTTAATAAATTTACATACGCCATCCACCTCTCATTATTAAAGTTGAAAATTCGATTTTAATAAATAAAATCAAATTATTTGAGGAAGTAAATTACGGCAATCTTTAAGTAAAGGTCAAATCCGAGAAATTTTATTCTCAAGTTCGGCTCGAAAGAAATTTTTCATTGTGCCCAAAATAAGTATTTTTAAATTTCTGTAAATATTTATTAATTAGGTAATATGTATTCAACAAATATGGAATATACATTTTATTAAGTTATATTAAGTATTGAAAACAGTGTTCGCTGGAGTTTTGCATCCATTACATTGATGGGTTTCCATAGCAGAGATGTTAGGATTTGGCACAGATGTATCTAGCCATGAAAATATGAAAAAGCTGCTAATTTTTGGGGGCTCTTGATATTTGAAGAGGGGTTCTGAAAAAGGGAGGTGGTTGCAAGGATAATCTTATCTTAATGAAACGTCATTCAATTGATAAAATTAAGAGATTTTGATTCGCTGAAAGGATAGCGCCACTCTACCGCTGGGAAGTTTTTGGGACTATCTTAATGCGTACTTTATCTACGAATTATTGCCCATTAACTTCAGACGCATTAAGAAAATCTCAAAAATTCCCTATCGTCAGAATGGTGTCATCTTTGGAGCATATCAAAATCTCTAAATTTTCCCGCTTGAATGACGTTTGATTAAATTAAGGATATTCTTGCAACCAATTTCCTTTCAGAATCTTTGTTTAAATAGCCGGAGCTAAATACAAGCTAGTTTCGACCAATAACAGAGTGTGTTCTGTTCATGTAACCTTTTCCCTTTTTGGGGGATCATGATTATTGCGTGATTACGCTTTTCCATGTTTGAGGAATTAGAAAGCGCTGTTTCAGAATTGAGATATTCTACACTGATGAGTTTTTAAGATTACGATCCACGAGATACATTTGCCCCGTTTACCCAACACTGATGTTTTGTTAAGGTTAAGTTGTTAAAATTAATTTGGCAGTTCAGACCGATTGAATAACATTAACGCTATCATACCCAATCCAGAAATCGGTTCAATAATATTATCCTACAGAAAAAAAAAGTATATTCGGATTGGTTCTATAAAATGGTGCTGTTGCCACAAGTCGGCAGAATAGCTGTGAACATATTTTACCGACGAACAGAAAATGAATGATGCATTTTTATTTGTTAATATCGAAACTGTGATAGTAGAATTCAATCTTCTTAGTAAATAAACTATGAATTACATTCATATATATACGAACGATACAAAAGATTTTTCATTCCTTATCGGTCTCAGTTAAGTTTTATCAAAAACTATTTATTACTATTCTTTTCCTAAAGTCTCAAAGAATAAGATTAAGAACACAAGCCATATTTATAACGTGGTGATTTTGACATGAACCTAAATCTATTGTAGCTCGGTGCTTGTCGAAAAGTTGATTCGAAAAGTTAAGGCCATAAATCGTATATGACATATGATTGTAAGCTTAAGTTGTCATAAATTGACCATTGATTTATTTTCATCTAAAATCCATTTATTCTTTTCTCTTTTGTAATTCATCTTAGAAAGTGTTATACAACTCAAGATGATGTTGTTGACATAAAAAATCAATTTCTCTTTACTGATAAATAATTTCTCAAAAATAAACCATTAGATGAAATTCAGTACACAAATACAACATACATTAAAAAAATAATACAGGGTTATTCATAATTCCCTCCGGGGTTTCGAAGCGTTATAGTAAAAAATCGAAGACGAATATGGCAAAAAAGAACATATAAAATTATTCCGAAAGTATTCAAGTTTTAATTTAAGCAGTTGCCGGTAGATGGCAGTAACATGTACCACTGAAGTTAGTTGCAGTAAAGAAAAATGGCGTTTACAGACGGAGGGAATTATAAATAACCCTGTATTTGCAAAAAAAAATCACTTTAAAGCAAAGTTACGCAAATGGGAGCTACATTGGTTAATACAGAACACACCACTACACTTCTACGAAGTGAAACACGACTGTTATTGAATATAGTCACTCTGTACAATTGAGCTTTTATGATTTTAAATGGGGCTGTTCATTGATAATTGTTACAGAAAATCGGATTCATTCAAAATGAGTACACAGGGTTTTTATGGAGTACCCAATACATACCCAAAAGGATTGAGGTACGGTGATTTCGCCAGCTTCACATATGATAAATGTCTTTCTCTTTCTCATGATATATTTCAGCAAAATCTTAGCAGTATTCTTCCCTAGTCAAGTTTAAAGATTAACAATGGAGAATGCTTGTACTGAGCTCACACACATTTCCCACCATTTATAAATTAATTTTGCTTCCAAAAACATTATTTGTGGCGTACATGGCGCACAAGAAGAAAAGGATCTAAAAAAGTCGTGCATTTGAAATTCGATTTCTCAGGAACTATTCGACCAATTTTGCACAGAACAAAATTTGTATTTCGTCATTTAAAATTCCCTTCTTTAAAAGGATGTATAAAAAAATAGTATACTTTATAATTCCAATTTTTTTCAGCTATTATTAAATAAAATAATGAAAATAATAAATATTTATTTAAAGTTAATTTTAACACGGAATTATCTTAGGATAAACGAATTTCATAACTGTGTGCAAAAATTGTTCAATTCGCTTAAACAGTTCTCCAGGTAAGGGGAAACACACAAAAAGTAAAATTAGCAGCAAGGGGACCAAACTTAAGATCGCTCTCCTGACAGAACCATGGGGACCATATTTCCCGGATTACTGCTACCCTCTGTATTTTGGGGGTCAGAAATCCAAATCCGTCAAAAAAATGGCATGTTTATTCAGAGAAAGTACGTTTTTTTGGTCTGATTTTGGAACTTAAAATATCGTCTGCACTAATTAGTTAGCACATTTGATGCCAATTACTTGAACCATTGAGATTTAGTCCTAGAATGTGGAGATCTGATCATTAGATCCGATGCTATTCTGGGTGGTTTGTGCGCTGTACATTGTACACCAGCAGTGCATTATTTACAATCGAAAAATTACGTGAGTTTGTTGGTGTTTTCCACTCTGCTCTACATCTAGAGAAACAAACGCTTACCGTTACAAAATGTGTTATATTTTTAGTAGTGTGATATGGATAATTATTTTTTAAAATGTTTTAATATCTCTCAGTTGTATTAATTATCTTATAGCATTTGATTTCTATGCTCTTCTGCCGGTCTGTTCATATGAGTACAGTGATAAAAGAATAAGACTATTAATTTGCGTTTGCGATTTTTTCAAAAAGCAGTTAATTATCATGTGGAGTACCCAATTTTTTGACTAATGAATTTTAAATGAAAGGCATTCTTTTGGCGGAACCAATAAAATTTATTTAAAAATAATTTCATTAGCAATTTTGAGCATATTAATCAAGGAAAAATTTATTTTGAAAACATTCAATGGTTGAAATTTAATTAATTGTTTTGAAAATATTCAATGGTTGAAATTTTATTAATTATTTTATAAATATTCAAAGGGAGAAATTTTATTAATTATTTTATAAATATTCAATAGTTGAAATTTTATTATTTATTTTATAAATATTCAATGGCTGAAATTTTATGAATTATTTTACAAATATTCAATAGTTGAAGTTTTATTAATTATTTTATAAATATTCAATGGTCGAAATTTTATTAATTATTTTTTAAATATTCAATAGTTGAAATTTTATTAATTATTTTGAAAAAAATTAATGAATAAATGAAAATAAAAAATTTATAGTTTTTATCTATAGTCTTAAAATTGTATTGCGTGTTAGACAGTTGAATTAGCACCTCTGGAACGGCAGATATTAAGCTCTTAATTTGATTCTAGTGTATGCGCAAACTGAAAATGATTGAGTTGAAATATGGTTTCCGTTGAAATAAAAATTAAAAAGTATGGAAATACACGTTGAAAAGGAATCAGAGAAAGATACTTAAATTACGTTATTTTTATTCTATGATGAAAACTAATGCAATTTTCCATAAATACATGTTCTTCAATATATTGTTACACGAAGAAACAATGTTTTTAATTGGTCTTTTCTTTGTTAGGAAGTATTTCAGATAAATAACTTCCTTTAATATAAATTCTAATAAGTAATGGATAAGAAATTAGATACACATTTAATTACGAATTTCAAAAATATTAATTAGTTAATGAAAAGACCATTGCTCTCGATTCCCAGAAACTCAGGGGTTCCGCAGAGCACCATTCGATAACCACTGTCCTATCAGCATCGAGATTATTAGAAACATTTAGGAGAGATTAGAAACATTTGTCGTTTAAAATGGTTAAATAGCAATTTATTTAATTGCTATTTTACCATAATCAACCAAAACAATCAAATAACAATAAAAAGAAGATGATATTCAAACTGTTAAGTGCGAAAAATATTATTGTTAATACCTAATTTGCGTGATTGTTTATGCCTAATTAGGCTTAACAACCGGAATTCTATCCGCCAGAATTCTATAATCCATTTTGTTCTGAACAGCTTGGCACACGCTGCAGTTGAAAGCGTCTGTCGGTCAATCTCATGACCGACAGAACAGGAGTTCGAATCTTAGGGTTGACACCACTATATTTCTTCTATTCCTTCAAAACATTTAGAATTTCCAGCTGCTTGCACTGGGTGACCCTCGACTGTTAAAACACGAAACTATCTTTCAAGCATGAACAGCACAGCTCCCAAAAAGTCTGTTTAAATTTTGTTTTAATGGCTTAGAAACCATTCTAGTTGAAAATGTTAAAACTGTATAGTTTTATATTTACGGTTTTTTAACCGTACCAATTGTAAACGGTTTCAAAACCGTAAATATAAAAAAAATGTTCCTAATCCTGAACTTTATGGTTAATCGGATGGACAGACAGTATATTTACTGCTTCAAAACCATAAATATAAAAAAAAAATGTTCCTAATCCTAAACTTAGTGGTTAATCGGATAGACAGACAGTGTTTACGGTTTCAAAACCGTAAATATAAAAAAATGTTCCTAATCCTAAACTTAGTGGTTAATCGGATGGACAGACAGTATTTACTGCTTCAAAACCGTAAATATAAAAAAAAATGTTCCTAATCCTAAACTTAGTTGTTAATCGGATGGACGGACAGTATTTACGGTTTCAAAACCGTAAATATAAAAAAATGTTCCTAAACTTTATGGCTAATCGGATGGACAGACAGCTGCCGGTTATTTCACCGTCATTTCAGAATGAAAACTCTAACAGTGTGTTCACCAGATTAATCTATCTCTCATTAATTAGATACAAAACTTTTACCAATGTTCTTCTCCCATTTACACCAAAACCATTATACCAATGTTCTGTCGTTAGTGGATTGATATTAAATACTTACGATGAAACCTCGAGCAGGGCTATGAGCAACCAGAAAATAACTTTACGAACCATGCTTAGAAATCGTGTAGATCTGATTTTCAACCCATCTGAAAGGCAAAAGATACATGTTAGCAGATTTCCATTGTTATTTTATCCGAAAATTATATTTAATGTAATAATTTTATATCTTTTGTATTATTCACTTAAATCTGGCTTATTTCATGATTTTTATTTTTTGCTTTGTAGCATTTTCAGTTATTTCTCAATAAAGCAAATAAAAATGTTGAATGTTTTGTCACAAGTAATTCGCGATTCATTTCCTATTTTGTTTCTGAATTGAACACAAATAGACTATTAGTTACGGTTGTCTTACGAAACGCGGTTACTTTTATTTCGACCTTTTAGTAGAAGATTTATCGATTATAAAGAAGTTTCACTTAAATGATTTAAAACCCTTGAATGTGTAGATTCTTACTTCAATTTTAAGTAGAGTTTAAAAAAAAGATTCTAAGAAAGGAACAAGTTTTTTACCGGTTTACCTTGAACGTTCAGAATATTTTATTTAATTATTTTTTAAGAGTTGAGTATTTAATATGAAATTCATAATTTAAAAGATTAGAAAAGAATGTGATATTTTTAAAAAAGATTTCTTCAGAAAAAATCATATTTTTTATTTAACTATACTTTGGTAATTAATGTCATTAAATTTTGTTGATAGAGTGTTTTCGCAGTTAAAGAAAGTTTCTAACTGCATTTAGCAATATATATATAGTCGATAATAAATCTTAGAAATTTCTTTTTAGTGGCAGCAAATTAAAACGTTAAGAGTACGAACGAGACGAGAGCAATTCAAATGCACTGTAAAAAATGGATACTCAAATATCACGAAACTTTTTTCGTTTTTAAAGAAACAGTCTTCCGGTATATGCTCCGAGCAAAAGTTTTCTTCAAAGTGACGAAATGACGATCGGCACTTCCTCAAGGAAACGAATTTCATCAAAATTAGCGAAATATTTCGTCTTTTTTTTTTAAAAGTACCTTGTGTCGCCTACCGTATTTAACTTTTCTAAGAATCATTTTAACGTGAGCACCATATAGGTGGCACAGTCCAACAAATAACAGAAAGATAAATTGCATCTATGCGTGAAACGGGATTCGAACCCCCAAAACTTCCTGATACGAGGTCAAATCCTTGACCACCATACAGTGGTCAACTCAATTCGTCACTTTATTTTCAATTGTCTAGTCTATAATCTAGTTTCGTCATTCTAGATGACAATCTAGCACAATGAAAAGCATATTTCGTCAAATTAATGAAATAGTTATCGTCACTTCTTCCAAGAAATGGATATCAACAAAATTGAAGAAATATTTCGTCATTCAGTTTTTTTTTTCCAAAAAAAAGAAAAGAAAAGAAAAATCCCCTCGTTTTGCCTACTAGATTTTCTAATTTTTCTAATAATCACTTTATCATAGGCACAGGAAGGATATATAGAACAGAGAGATAAATTACATACATGCCGAAAGCGAAATTTAAACCCAGGATCTTCCTAGTACGAGGTTAACTCTTTGACCACCATACAGTCTTTGTTCGCTACTTTATTTTCGATCGAATAGTCTTCATTCCAGTTCGACATTCTAGTTAACAATCTCCCACAATGCACAGCGATGAGGTTTAGAGTTGAGGAAACATTTTCGACACATATTTCAGAGTTAATGTCTTCTCACAAATCATGTGATTTCGTGACGAAATGAGTCTCAAAATTAAAGTAATACTGCTCAAGGTATATTGAATAGTCGAAACCCAGAGATTTATTTTTGAGAGCGTGAGTGTATAGATTTTACCACCGAAGCTTATAACCCCTTCCTTCGCGCTCCCGTGAAAATGACGGGGAGAGTGCTCGCTCGCTATTTCTCGCTCCCGTGATATTGTTCAGTAGCGCCAATATGAATAAAACTAATCATTTCTTTTGCCCGGAAAACATTTTATTTCTCATTTTACACACCATATAGCAGTGCCAGATATTTTTAAGGTAAATAGTTAGTTTAAATAGTTAGTTTATTTTAAACTAGATACTAGCACTAATCAAATACGTGTATTTGGCATTCTTGAAAATTAACCCATCGTTAAGGGGTTAAGCAAGAAATAAAAGGAAGGCATAATATGACTGCCAACCTTTAGTCTAGTTTACCCGAATTCACTAATATGCCACTTAGAAATTTCATCTACTCCGCTTTTCAATTAAGTCTTCCCATCCACATGATATTAAAAAAATAAATCTGTCACAGGTGTCAGCGAGTAGTTTATTCCTTTTTGTTTGAATCCAAGTTTAGTAGCATGCATTAAAATCGGCATAATGATACTCCCGTAGAATGAACTCTAGTATTACTTAATTAAACTTTATCTGAAGAATAAAATTAAAAAAGGAGCGTTAATATAAAAGAAGATATTAAAAACTTCACTCTATTTTATTTCACGGTTGTTTTGAGATTCTGAAACTCCTCTAATTAGTAAGAAATTAAAAATATGTTGTACTCTTTCAGTTATAAAGTCTCATCAAATTGTTACATTTTTACAGAAGGAGTGCTAAGCGTTTAATTAAAAAGAGAGACGCACGATTAATTGCCAAAAAAGATATAATTTGCATTCAAAGTAAAGGATTTTAATAAAGATGCTAATTAGAGGTAACTTGAAGTAAATTAGATGCCTATTTTAAGTTTGAAGGAAACTAGAAAAGATCTGAAAGCAAAAGTAGCCGCATTTGGTGAGACACAGAAAGAACAAAGCTTGCGGAAAACGTGCATTTTATATAAAAAAAATTGATGACTTAATGCTGTAATTATCGTGTTTTTTTCTAAATTTGAAAATTAAAGATTCGTTTGGAATTCAAAAGCCTCTGCAATTGTGTTCTTTTTGCCTTGTTTCGGAACGAATATTTGCTATTAGTTTGAACTAAATTTAGAAAAATAAAAGCCCTTCTCTTTTTGAATTTAGTAATACTTTAATTGATAAATGTTGAAAATTTATTTACTTTGGTATCAAAAGAGAATTAACATTGCAGAAAAATGAATGAAAAATTAGAATTAATAAAGAGATTTATTTAAATTTTTACTTACTTCAGTAGAAGGAATGTTATTTTATTAAAATTCAAAATATTTGAAAATAAATAAGCATGAAAAATGTCTGCAAGTAGAAAGAGGATTTAATAAAAAAGATTATGCATTAGTTTAACAAAAATATCAGAATATTCGAAACAAAATGTGTATTAAATAAGAATGTAAAATAAATATATATTTATAACTGAATTTATATTAAAATATGCATGCATGATTTACATATTATTTTACAATTTGGACAATATTTTTTAGAATACATTTCAAAAACTATTTAGAACCATTTCGAATAAATGTTAAATATGTATTTGATGTGTAAAGCGAATATCTAGAGATGATTGGAATTAGGTATTTTCAACTCGAGAAGTGAAATGATTATGCTTAACAGTATGATTTAAATTAGATTTAATTGGATCGATTCTGAATCAACAAATGTCACAATTTACTTACTGTGCCGTCTATATAGGTATCCAGTAACAAGCGATTGCCGCTCTTTAATCCCTGATTAATTGTTCTATGATTTCTCCTTTACTTAAATGATTTATCAGTGATTTACTTTTTATATAAAAACTGCTTCTTCTTCTAAATGAATAAATAACATTATATTTCTTATATTCTTTGGAGTATACATAGTTTGGAGTGAAACGTATTAAATTTTAGAAATTATTCAATTTTTTCGACCTTAATATGTTGTTAAAATGAACTTAGTTTTTTTTTTAAACTTGACTTCTTAATATTATGGTTCAACTTGCACGGAAATATGGTTCCATTTAACAACTTAGTAAAACAGCAAATTTGCAGAGTTTTATGGCTCTAAAGTATCAATAATATGGTTCAAAATGAAACCGATTTTTCTGAGAGTGTCTGCTAAAAATACTCATTTTCCGAATGATAGAAATCGCAATAATATCAATTCAATGCCAACTCGATAGCTACACTGTAAGAAATTTCGGATCAAAATTCGATAAAAAGTACTGGCACTTATGGTGCAAGTACATTTATGCTCTCTCTCTCTCTCTCTCTCTCTCTGTATATATATATATATATATATAAGTTCAGATGAAGATTAAACAAGGGAAAGTTATAGACATATGAAAGAAAAGGGGGGGAAATAATAATGAAAAAAAAATAACAAACAACTGATTTAAAAAAGATAAAAAATAAAAAAAATGAATTTTTAAAAAAAAAAAAAAAAGGAAAATGAAAGATATAATCTTTTCATCCGCCCACACGATTATATTCGCAAAAAAGAGTGCTTTCTGATATTGTATCAATATAGCCAAAGCAAAAAATATTAAAACAATAGTGTGAGGAGCACTAAAAAACATTTTTTTTTACAAAAATTACAACAAGTAAAATAGACCACAATAAGTAAAAATAACACGTAATAAAATAAAATAAAAAGATAAAACAGTATATAATATATATATATATATATAGCTACTGTACTGATCTTCCGATATAACTTCTCTTAATTCAAATAAGAGAAGTAGTTATAAAGAAAACTCTATAAAGCATTACAGTCTTATTTAAAATCATAACGTTTTTAATTTTAAAAAAATTAACAGTCCCAATTTGCCTTACTTCATATCCTGTGTATGATTGAGTAGAATATTCAAAATCAGAGTCAGGACCACCAGGACAGTATCTAGAAAAACAAATGAGAAGCAATCTGTACTCAATTAAAAAAAAAAAAAACACAAATGTAATGAGTAAAGAAATAAAATTCTTATTTCGTCAAACAAGAATTTATTTATTTACTTTTATTATTATAATTTATTTACTTTTATTACATGCATTTATCAGGCTTTTTTCATTTACATAAGGGCTTTTTTCATTTATATTCACATTACAGGGTATCTGCTACATTTTAGATTTTCAAATTCATGACTTTCCATGACTAATTCAAAGAATTTTTCATCACTTAAGGAAGTTACTATTTTCTCTGACAATAACACAACAATAAATTTAAAAAAGCATTATAATAACATTA